TCGTACTCCGGCCACTCGATCGTCCGGTTCGACGGCGCGCCGTTCGGGTCGAGCGTGTGCGTGAAGTGGATGAGGTAGTCCGCCATGTCGTTCGCCTCGCGGAGGAGCTCGAAGAAGTCCGACCCGTGCGGCTGTCACCGTGCGCATCATGAGTCCCATCGCGACCTCCCGGAAGGAAGGGTCGAACGCTCACCGTCCCCAGCCCAGCAAAGGTCTCGCGCTCGAACCCTGAGCACAGAAAGCGTGAGCGCGAGCCCCGACGTCACCACTCCCCCGTGAGTCCGACGTACTGTACGACCAGATCGGCTGCTTCCCGAAGACGTTGTCGAGGAAGAACCGCCGCGGGCCCTGCCAGACGAGGTCGCCCTGGTAGGCCGCGATGCGCTTGTACTGCGGCGCGAGCGCGTCGGCGGCGCCCGTGCCGAACGGCGAGCCCTGCGCAACGTCGCTCGGGTAAAACTCGAGGAGCGGCGCGACCGTGCTCGCGGGCGCGCCCGGGAAGAAGAAGTCGCGCACGAACGCCGCGAAGTCGGCGTCGGTGCTGTCGTGCGGGGTGAGCGCGAGGTTTCGGAGGAGCGACGCGACGCGGGGAAGACGTACGTCGCGTTGAAGCTGGAGGTCGCGAAGATGGTGCCCTCGTCGAGGACGTCGCCGCTGATGAGCGGCACGCGCGCGACCGCGCCCTTGAGGATGAGCTGCTGCGGAAGGTCCCTCAAGAACACCCCGTCGGCGTGAGGGATCCACGGGAGGACCCCGCCCGTGCCCTGCGCATCATCGCCGCGTTCAGCATGCTGCATCGACGCTCGAGCGGCAGAACCTACCTGGTAGCTGAACTGCCCCCCGAGCGTCCCGGCGGCGGCCACGATCGCCTCCACCGACGCGCCCCGCAGGCACTCCAGCGTGTCCGCCGCGTTCGCGCACCCGACCTGTGAGACGACCGCGTCGTACGCGTCCTGCAGGTCCGCGACGTCGCCGGTGGGGATCGGCGACCCCGACTGCGCGACCGCGGCGTGGAAGAGGCCGTCGCTGTTCCCGTTGTTGACGAGCATCTGGTACGCGACCGACATGCCGCCCGCGCTCTCGCCCCAGATCGTGACTTTGCTGGGGTCGCCGCCGAACGCGGAGACGTGCTCCTGGACCCAGCGCAAGGCGAGGCGTTCTGTGTGCGAGAGGGTGAGTGTGACGGCCTCGCGGGGTGCAAGATGACTGACGGTCGTGTAACCCCAGGTTGGCGACGCCTTGTTCCTTGACCTGGCTGCCGCCCAGGAAACCGAACGCTGCTTGTGGGGTGAGGAACTTGCGACGTGATGTACGCATCTCACGTACCGTGCAATCTGAGATTCAATATTCAATGTTCGACTCGGACAGTGCCATTGACAAGTTTCAGGAAAGACGCACCTGTAGTTCATGGCCACGACAATGACCGGCTCACCGAGCTCGGCAGAGCGGCGAACAACCTTGTCCATAGGGTATAGGGCGGTAGAGCCTTGGACCCACGCGCCTGTTGTGCCGGAGACCATATGAGCACGAATGCCCGCCCATATATTTGGGACTGACACACCTCCGTAGATGGACTGTGCACAAAGAGGAACGTCAATTGAGCGATTACAGACATCCGATGTAGAAATTGTGAACACACTCACCACAAGCACAGGCAGGTTGTCTCCCGCTTTCGTTCCCTCCGGGATCGTCACATCCACAGTCAGACCTACCCGCATCGGGTCGTCAGCGACACGCTCCGTGCGATCCTCAATGGAAAGACAACCGTACAGTCCTCGCTCTCGGGGACGTTCACCGCCGCCGGTCCAACGGCAAAGTACGCCAGGACGTCTTCTAAGATGTCCGCCGGCATGTCCGATCGCAGATTCTGGAAGAGCTGGACGCACTGCGCCGCCGGTTGCGTGGCGTTGATCGTCCCGCTGTATCCGGTGACTGGAACAGGCAGGCGGAGGCGGAGGTTGCCCACCCTGCGGTACCGCGAAGTCAGACCAAAAAGGGGACGAGGAGAAGAGAGGGAAGAGAGGGAACCCACGGGGGCTTGGCGAAAGGGATCCCGGTGAAGGTCGTCACTGAATTGTTTGTGAGGCCGACTACGGTCGCTCGGTCAAGGTGGATGGTAGGGAGTGAGGCCGACGCCTGCGCGAGGCCGATGGCGAGGGAGGCGAGAACGGCGGGACGGGCGAACATGATTGGAGGCGAAAATCGAGAGAGAAGAAAGAGAGAAGTGTCAGCGAAACCGTCGAAACGCTCGAAACGATTAAATACCTTCTCGTGAGCGTTCTTTTGGATTCACCGGTGTCGGGAGTAGGTGCGGAGTGTTCGATGACGGGATACGCGTCCCAGCGGCCGTGTCGGGACTCGGTGCCAATAGCGGAATTCGACATGCTAGCATAATCTGCGCGATGGTCGGGCTGGTTAGTATGAAATTGACGGAGGGTTGCTGCTCATCACAGGCTCGCTGTATAAAATTCACCAGGCGCAGGAGCCCGGTCGGTATATAACGGGCGCTCCCGATGAAACAAACAGTGCTGTGTTTATCCTCAGTACTTCAATGCCGTATGGTCAATACATACCTCGCGTGAGACGTGTCCATCCGCATGGTGTCTTCGTCCAAAGAGTGTCGATTAGAAGATTTGTAGCGCTGACATGCGTACTTCCACCCCACTCGCGACGATCCGACTCGGGGTTGCCGTGGCACTCCGGCACCGGTCCCGACCCCTTCACGGACGTCACTATACGCCTGAGCAATATCAGCGCATCGTAGTGAAACTCGAGCCCGCTGATTGGAACATGAGCCTTCGGAAGAGCCGTGCCAAGACGCAAACTGACCTCGCTTTCGGAGACAGTTGGGGCCCTTGAAGCCCGACCCGAACTTGTCATCGACGTGGGGATGACAAGAGAACCACGCACTGCTCAAAAGCACTTTGATAGGACAAGCGTCACTGAGCCAGGTGTTTCCATGCGTAATAAAATATTCAGGCATGTTCTTTTCTCCACCCAGAACCAAATGCGAGAATTCGTGGACATGGGTGGCGGGCGAGATGGGGGTTTCGAACAAGACGCGTCGCCGCCTGGAGTCGAACCAGTGGTGTCCCAACCGGCCCGAGATCTGCCGGGTGTTTGGCGCTAAATCAGCGGCTCTCCGACCTATGGCGCTTCGTTCCGAATACTCGTCAACGATGACACACGCAAGGGTTGCGCAGGACTCATTTGCTTCAGCGTATACACGCAGTGATCAGACTTGGAATTGTACAAATTAGCATACGCACTTTACTACTGAGCTACGAAAACGGGCCATAGAGCTACACAGAAGCAGGTCAGACACAAGACCAAGCACCAAGAGCTACATCCAAGAGGAGCAAACGCAAACGTGCGGCGCCCAGCACCGCACGTTCAGCACATAATAATACAGTCGAAACCCCGAACGCGCCACCTCATCGAGGGTCTAGACGAGCCTCCCGCCAAAGCCCCCCGGGATATTGTGCCACGGAATGTCGCCCTCCACAAACCGGCCCGACTTGCCCTTCCCCTGCATCCCCGCGCTCGCCGACACCCCGACCACCTGCACGTCGCGGCTCCCCGGCGGCGGCAGCGTCTCGGGCCGGCTCCAGCTCAGGTGCCACGCCTTCTCCTTCTCCTTCCCCTTCGTCGTCGTCTTCGTCGTCTTCGGCGGGCTGTCCGGGTCTGGACGCAGGCTGAAGAAGCCCTTGCGCCAGCGCCGCCTGTCCTTTGTGAGCTTCGTGGGCGCGGCCGGGTCCTGGGCGTCGTCGGGGCCAGGAGCTGCGCGCCGGACGGGGTGGCAGCCGGGCACCGGCATGTCCGACGCGGGATCGGCCGCGGCGGAGGAAGAAGAGGTGGTGGCGGAGGGAAAGGACGCGAACACGACGTCGGCGGGCACGCCCGCGGCGAGCATGGAGCGCATGCGCGCGACCTGGGCACGCATGGCGTCAGCTTCGGCCGCGCCGCCGGGTGGTGAGCTCGGGGTGGACGAGGCCGGGGCTGGGGGCGGGACGGGCTCGGCCTCGACCTCCGCGATGACGGAGGGGTGCTTGTCTTTGCGCGGGTAAGGGGGAGGCATTTCTGAGACTGAAGCTGGGGCGAGATCAGTCAGAGTCCGGTCCCGGGTACGAGGGACATGGTACGCACCTCTGCCGAAAGGTAATAAGAGAGGGCGGAAAGAAGAGGATGCTTGTGTGCCCAGCAGAGTCTAGTTGCGTTCATATAAGTACATGCTCACCGTCGTCTACGTACGCGCCTGGCCCGATAAACCCAGCCTGCTTAGACGGTCCGCCACAAGGCAGGTACGAGCGGTGCCGGCAGCATTCTGCGTATTGCGCCGAAGCAACGCGAGACAAAAGGGTTTCGCACGGTGCACCCCCACAGTCCCAAACGCACACAAAAGCCTGGCTGTGGATGCTCGGCAGGTTGCTAGCCAGCTGCGGTAGACAATAAGCCGGAGAGGGGAACTCGCAGACGAAGCACAGACCTGAACGCCAGAGTGCAGTGAGACAGGAGGTCCACCATGCAAATGTTTGGGCACTTGAGAGTGAAGAGGTCCGGCAAAGTCTCCGCTCGTACGTTAATAGCTGTCGGAGTCTCTACCAATTTGACAATCTCGCGTCCTCGGTGCGGAGGTATATGCTTGCGGTGGGTATAGGTTGAGTCCCATTCCGTGGCAGAGGGGAACAGCTGAGGCAGCTCATGTGGTCGTGGTCGATAAACAACGACATCGTGCGCCAGAGCTTCTTATAAAACCCTAACCCTAGGAGTATACCAAGAATCGATGGGCGACCCAAGTACTTCCTTTGAACCAGCAATCGCGAAGCAATCTTGCAAACATGCACACGAGGAACGACAAGGGAGTACGACTTCTATACGGGTATGTCCATAGTACTCTATAATCCGAGAGAAGCGCATATCGACCGTATAATCGCAGCAGATAACATCGCATCGCTCTCCTTCTCCGCCAGCCGCCACCTCCTCGTACAACAGCGATCCGCTTACTTGCCACCGGTCGTGCCCATGCCCATGGCGGTTTTGAAGGAGTCGTAGATCCACCACTGGAAGCCGGTCAGAGTACCGATCATGACCACACGCGTACCGAGACCCTTGGTCGCAAGCGACACAATGCCGGTCTCGGACGCGATCGCGCCGAGGCTCTTGCCGCGGTTCGCGGGCTTGCCCATGAGCGACACGAGCGAGTCGGCGGGGTGGGAGACGACGGCACACACAACACCGGCGAGGTAACCGGACGCGAAGGTGACACCGAGCTGGGTGGGCTTCGAGTACGTGTCCTTGGGCGCGGTGAACACGTGCTTGTAGAAGAGCGCGACGATGTACTCGAAGAAGAAGAACTTCGCCATCGTGTACGGGATCTGGAATCACGGCATGATGATGTCAGTGTCGGCTAGTCACAGCAGACGTGGGCGGAACCACATACCTGGCGCGACCAGAGGGGAACGAGGGAGCCGAAGGGGAAGCGGGTTTCCGCCTTCATCGCGCTCATGTGAGAGAGGGCGGCAAACATGGGGACGGGGAAGGTGCCAGCAGGGCTCGTCTGGATCTTGACCTTGGTCATCTCCAGAGGGCAGAGGGCGATGTCGGCGAAGAACTCTGCAGAGGCCGAGCCGGCACACCAGATGAGACCCTTGTACTGGGCAGAGGCCTCCTCGCCGGCCATGTTCATGTACATGTCCTTGAAGTACTCGTAGAGACCGTACTTGAAGAGACCTTGGAGAGAGTAGCCGACAAAGGTCGGGCCGAAGCCCTTCCAGAGACCGCGGGAGGTCTCCTCAGCGACGATGGTGCGGAGAGCCTGGCCGGTGCTCTTGAACTTGGCGGGGTCGACCTGAAGTACATTGTGGCGTCAGTGAGGGGTTGGTTCAACGTGATCGAGGGATATTGCAAGGATCAAACACGCGCGTGCGGGCGGCAAACAAGACGGTGCCAGCAAAGCCATCGCGCGGCCAGTGTATGCACCTGAAGCCGCGCGCCGACCGCCTCAAATACAGACGTGAAGAACGGATGAAGTGAGGAAAACGCGAACGACGCGATGGGGATGCGAGGAGGATTCAGTGAGAAAGCAACAGAATGGTACTGACCTGCATGTTACACTTGGCGACATCAAGGGGAGTGATACCGGCGTGGGTGAAACCGCAGGCAAGCGCACCACCAAGCATGCACTTCATGTAGTAGGTCGTGTCATGGGGGACGGGGCCGAGGTAGCTGTGGTGGCTGGGTGAGTGGGGGCGGGGGATGGATGACACGTCGAGGGACGCACCGGGCATCCCACTTGCCGGAGGGCGAGACAGCCATGGCGGGTATTATCTAGTGGGCGTGAGGGATAAGGTAGTGGTGTCTAGGTCGTCGACTGGATGGCCTGTCCAAGTCGAGGCAGCAGCGGCGCTGGCGGTGGTGGTGAGAGGGAGAGAGGACCGGGGTGATGCCGGCTCGACGCGCGACGTCCGTATAAATTTCGGCCGCGGTGCGCCCGGCCCCCACCCGGGAACTCATCCCGGCCGTCACCGATGCCCTCCGCCAATGGGAGCGCTCCGTCGTATACACCTGCCCGGACGGCAGTCTGCAACCACACGGACCCACCTCGTGCCGAAAGTGGGTCCCACTGCGGCTGGGCCAATGTTCCAACAAGGCTCAAACAGGTTTCGCGGGTCACTTGCGCTTCACGTCATCGGGCTTCCGCGTTCTTCGGCAGGACCAGGAGCATAGGCTTTATCGGCGAACAATCCGGACTCGTGAGTCCGACGCAAAGAGAATGAGTGGACTTGTAGGTGGGATTGGTAGACAGCGTGCTAGTATCTGCGAGGCATTACAACAGATTCCAGAACACCATTAGAGGATCTAAGGATACAAAACCTAGTGTGTTCATTCTTGCTCTCCCCTCCCGAGGCACCGCTGGAGGAGCCAAAGTCACCAACCTCCTCTTCTTCTTCCTCCTCCCTCTCCCCTACGTTTGCCCCGCTACTTTCAGCGACCCCTCCCTCTCCTCCCTCCACCTCACGAGCTGCTCGATGCTGATCATCCGGACCCCCCACCGGTCCGCAAACCGCCTGCACCCATCGCGCCGCATCATACTCCCCTCCGCGTCGTCCTCCACGAGCTCGCACAGCACCCCCGCGCGCGGGAGCCCCGCCGCCGCACACAGGTCGAGCGCGGCCTCGGTGTGCCCGCGGCGGACGCGCACGCCGCCCTCGCGCGCGCGCAGCGGGACCATGTGCCCCGGGCGCGCGAACGCCGTTGCAGGGGCCGCCGCGGCGAGCGCACGCACGGTCAGAGCACGGTCGTGCGCGGAGATGCCCGTCGTGGTCCCGTGGCGGTAGTCGGCGGTGACGGTGTACGCGGTCTTGTGCCGCTCCTCGTTTTGGGGGACCATCATCGGGATCGCGAGCTGCTCGAGGCGGTCGCCGGGGAGGGATACGCAGATGAAGCCGCTGTGGGGGCGCGTAGATCGGTGGGGTGCGGCCGGACGGAGGGAGGGCAGAGGCAGAGAACAGAGCATGAGGGAACGGGGCCGCGGAAAAGGTAGGGGGCGACTCACCTGGTGTGTTTGATCATCCACGCCATCTTCTCGGTAGACGTCGCGCTCGCGGCGACAATGAGGTCGCCCTCGTTCTCCCGGCCCTCATCGTCCATGACCACGAGGAACTCGCCGCGCTTGAAGGCGGCGATGGCATCCTCGATCGGGTCGAATTCGAACGCTGTGCGCGCTGGGGCGTCGACCACTTCTTGCGGGCGTGAGGACGACGCTGTGGACGGGACGAGAGGGAAGTCGGCGGGAGCGGCGCTCATCTTGGAGGATGGGAGGATGGAGGAGAGCGAGGCGTTGGGCTGGGCGAGAGCGACGGGCGCCATGGGTGTGCTAGCGAGAGAGAACGAAAAGCGGACAAGTGGAGGTCGGAGCCAAGCCTGTAGAGCTTATGACCATCGACATATTGGAATGACTTGCATGTGTGAACTACCCAGGGCGGTCGTGGACGGTGAGTAAGGCGCGTGATTACACACCAAATATGTAATCTACTCGACTTCTTGAGAGCCGGTGGGCCCGAGCCATGTGTTGGTCTCGTGGCGCTAGACAGCTGGCATGTATATTGACAACAGAAGACGAGGAGATATGGGAAGAATTCGACGTTCGCTTCTTCAAAGCCTCGCGCTGCAAAGCTTCCGAACCGTTGTCGGCCACGACTTCGATTTTGAGATATCAATGGCTTACTTGGATGTCATCACGTAAGCACATTGATCTTCATTCGCAGTTTTGCGAGGCCTCGATTCCGTACCGGAATGCGAAACATACCACAGCACCAAAGCGCTCGCTCACTCAGTACATATTCCGAGCATGAGACAATCCTTCAGAGGTTGTTCAACAGTTCAGATTGTTCGTCGACAAAGTCTATACATGTCTAGGCTCGATCATCTAGCCGCGTTCCTCCCTAAGTACACATGCCTGCAACCCCCGCACGGCCGGTCCGCTCTCACACCTACACCCGCGTCACGCTCCACTCCATGACACAGTAAACAGCACCGCTCTTCTCAGCCTGGTGCCACACCGGCGGCTCGACCAGCCGCGCCTCCACCTCCACCGTGCCCTTCGCGAACACCCCGCCGTCCCACAGCGCCGTCCAGCTCTCCGCGTTGTGGAAGAACATCGAGACGTCCTGCCCCGCCGCGCCGCGCTGCGTGTTCACGCCGCTCTCCCGCTGCGCGGCCTGCTTCCCGAGCAGCATCGACCCGGGCTCCGCGGACAGCAGCGGCGCCAGGGCGCGCGCGAGCCGCGCCTGCTCCTCCTCGGCGGCGAAGAGGTGGAAGACGTTGCAGACGCTCACCGCGGACACGCGCCCGTGGAGGGGCGTGAGCGTCGTGAGCGCGGAGAGCGGAGGAGCGGGGCCGGTGGGCGCGGAGGCGGCCGTAGTGATCGGAGCGGGGGCGAGGAAGGCGGGGTCGAAGGCGTCCCCGGGCACGAAGGGGACGGGGAAGGTCTCGGGCGTGGAGGCGAACAGCTTGTGGCCGAGCACCCAGAACTCTGTCGTGAGCGGCGGTGAGCGGCGGGTGCGGGACTGCGGGGAGCTGGGAACAAACCTGGGTTTATGTCGGTCGCGATGATGTTCTGGACAGGGTACCCGTCGTCGACGGCTTTCCTGACGTCGTTCCCGACTGCGGAGAGGCGTCAAGACGGGGTGCGAATGTCGACGCGGAGCATCTGCTCACAGCAACAACCGACATCCAACCAGATGGCGTCTTTACGCGTCTTGCCGAGTTTGAGGAGTCGGCCGTACGCCGGGAGCCCACCCAGATTCAACCTACACGCATTTTTTCAGAGGGTTCTGTGCAGATAGAACTTCGATAATCCACCGACGAACTTCGTGAAGGAGAATATAACGATGCATGGGTACGGGTGGACCTATGCACAACTGGGTCAACGTCTGGTATGCTGCACAAGACGGATGACAAACATTAAGCGCCTCGCGCTGCACGGCAAGAATGTGCTGCTTGAGTTCTTCATCAGTTTGAATCCCAGTTCTGGCTTTCAGAAACGTGCGCTCCGTCTCGTCGAGGTTATAGCGAGAGCCGGCGTTTGCCAGCGAAGCATCACTAGAACGGATGGGAGTCGGAGTAGCGGTAGACATCGCGAGGTAGAACAAAGCTGGTGGGGTCCTGACAGTCGTGGCTCAATGCCCTCTCCGTTAAAAGGCTGGTGAGAGCGCCAAGACCACGCTTCCAGGAGGCCCATCCTCCTTCTGCAAAGATAAGCGGCGTCAGTGCGCAAAGCAACTCGGTGAAGTGCCGAAATGGAGATGGGCGTCGTAAACCTAGCATCGTAATTCGGCGATAAGTGCTTGCGACGAAACGAATAGAAGGAGAATAGCGATGCTTCGTGCCATTCAAAAGTGGTCTAACGATGTGCCACAACTTCGAAAAACAAAGTTGTGTCTGGTGTGGCAGATCAGTACGGGCACTCTACATGGACGCTCTCGAAGACTGCACGCATCCTGCTCGGGGCCCGATTCCAGTCGATGGGTCCCCTCGCCCATTCCGACGTGCCCGTCGGTGAGCTGGCATCCCAGATGCCGAACTGTAGATGGGAGGGGTGAGACGGATAGTGAAACAAGCCATCCTTCTTCGTGTCCTCTGCGAACAGGGTTTTAGACTAGACCTAAAGCATCGCGAACACTCCGTACCTTGGGTCAGAGTGCGGACCTCGACGCCGTCCACGCTCCAGATGATGCGCTCTGGACTCCAGTCGATGGTGTAGGAATGTGTGGCTTGAACGTTCTTGGTGTCTCGCGGATACGACTGCACGGAACCAAAGGTGCCGTACAGCGGCTCATCCGCGGATGAAACAGGCGCAAAGACGTTCGTCTGCCAATGCTTCGGGTCGCCGCCGACCAGTTCAACGTCGATCTCGTCCCTTTGGTCCGCTGAAACACGGTCAGAGGGATCTTGCGAGGCATGAAGACTACGCACCTAACAAGATTGCCGCAGTCACCACACCAGCTACGTCGGGCCCAGACAGGACATACGTGACCTTGCCGTAACTAGCGGGCAGACCGAGCTTAACACCGCAAGCATATATACACCCAATTCAGGAGGGACGTACCGGATTGTGAACGTGGAGTTGAACGTGGATCCTTCCGCGACGCGGCTATTGGTGTTCCCTTCAGTGGCGATCTTGCCTCCAGGTTTGTCTAGAAACAAGCTCAAGCCGTCGGGTCCAAAAGCATAGGAGTCGGGTGAGTCTAGTGGTTGCCAAGCTCCAAGGAAGTCGTTCGTCGGAGTTGAGTCGGAGAAGAACCAAGACGTCGGCATGCAGGAGGATCCAGAAGCGCGAGAGTGGTGAACGGAGTCTGGGGCCACTCCTTGACTGATGAAAGAAGAACTTGCAGGTAAGAACATGGCGAGGAAGACGATTGCCAGAGATTTCCAGAAAGACATTGTGAGAGGGTGGCTCGAGTGGACAGATATGGATCAGAGAGCGTGCTGCCAAGTAGATGTAGCTCAAAGTACTATGTAGTAGAGGAGGAGGTTGAGGACGCAAGTAGTACATACTTGGGTCTCATTCTCAACACCAAGTCGTCGAACAACATTCTCACGCAGACGCGATCCCGTGACTGAACGTGAACCTCTAAGCTCTAACGGTTTGGCCTCCTTTGCTCGAGTTCCCTCCCTTTGTCGCGCACCTTCTTTGGCGCAGTTAAGCTCGCTCTTCCCGATGACTTTCTCCGCGACCCCCTCACCTTCCTCGTCTCCCTCCTTGGCGCCAGTCGATTCCTCTCCTCCATCCTCGCCCTCTCTTACAGCTCTCCAAACACCGCCAACTTCCCCAGGAGCAAGAGATCCGTTCGCGGGATCCAATAAGTCTGTGAAGCACCCCCGCATATACGAGAGATCCACATTTCCAAAGGCATCCGGATCATGGGACACGCTTGACGGCACACGACCAGACGCGACGCCGAAGCCGACGCGTCCAACACGCGTCGTGGACCCGTTCTCCGGTTCCGCGAAGAGAGAATGGCGTCCGCCCACGTACGAAAGGAGACACAGAGAAGGAGATGATACACCTCACGCCAAAGCGGGTCCCTTGTCCTCTCCTCCATTTGTCAGCCAGTCAACACATCACTACGCTTCTCCGACTCCTGCCGCTCGTACACTTGGTGCAGGCCTGGACAGCTCCGACTTCGAGCTTTCAGAAGATGAGGGCGATGACGAAGATATCAAACGTTCCACCAAGGCCGCACCACCAGCCAAGTCGGAGGAGGAAATGTGGGAGGAGGCGATCGCCGAGGCAATTGAAAAGCTTCATGGCGTTATATATCTCAGGTGCGTGGCAACTGTATACGTTTAACCTCCCCAGTCGTTAACGGCGTGCGCAGTGGGAGTAGTGTCCTTGGCCCGCAAGTGTCGCACATACCCGCATCTATTGAAGAGCTGGCCATCCGCACCATCCTCCCTCTAGCAACCGGTTCGTCCAGTGCTCCCCCTTCTCCACCGCGATCCCCTCCTCCGCGTCTTGCCCATCTTCCAGTTCCATCCCCGTTTGCAACTGGGCGTCGGTTTGGTCGTGCGTCAACAGTTGCTGCCGCAGCATTCGAGCCGACTTTCTTCAAGAGCAAAGATGGTGAACGACTTCGATGTACCCCGGCTGCTCGGGCAGCGTCTCTCCAGTCCGTCATCCAACAGCCAGCCGGTTCACTGAGAAAATGCGAACTGCATCTCTTTCTGGCTCACAACACTATCTCTCTACTTCCACCCGAGTTGTTTCGCGTTACATCGTTGACTGTCCTCAGTTTACGTGCGTGCATATAGTCACTCGAGAGCAAGGATTTATACTGATTGTCACTTGTCTTCTTCAGGGTCAAACTGCCTCACATCAATTCCACCCCAAATCGCCTGTCTAGTCGCTCTGCAAGATCTCAACCTCGCCCAAAACAAGCTGCACTGGCTTCCCGGGGAGATGCTAGCGATGCGTCTGAAAACGTTGGTCGTCTCCGGGAATCCGTGGATCGAACCCCCTCCTCCACCATCAGGCCACCCCGTAGGCCGGAAACCCACGACGCCGACAGCATCACTATCCGGTTTCCCCTCCCTGACGGAACTATGTCTCCGTGCACTTGTTGCACATCCGAAGCCTTCTCCACCGGTTGTCAAAACAGATGCAGCCAGTCAGGCCCCCGCGTTGACCTTCCTGGAATCTTCATACGACCTTCCCCTCACCACCGACCTCAATATCAACCCCTCCATCCTCTCCGTCCTCCGCGTATGCGTGCCAGCCGCAGTCGCACGTCCTGCCGAGCACC